AACAGATTCAAAAATGTTCATTGCTGCGTGTGTTAAGTGAAAAGATTGTTTAACCTGGCGTGGTGGCTCATGCCTGTAATCCCAGCACTTTGGGAGACTGAGGCAGGTGGATCACCTGAGATCAGAAGTTCAAGACCAGCATGGTCAACATGGTGAAACCCCGTATCTACTAAATATACAAAAAAATTAGCCAGGCATGGTGGCAGGTGCCTATAATCCCAGCTACTTGGGGGGCTGAGGCAGGTGAATCGCTTGAACCCAGGAGGCAGAGGTTGCAGTGAGCCAAGATTGCACCAGTGCCCTCCAGCCTGGACAACAAGAGCGAAACTTCGTCTCAAAAAAAAAAAAAAAAAGTTTAAAAGGCAGAATTACTGGAGTGCTAAATGGGTTGTATAAAGGATGTATGATTTGAGTGGCTTTCTAAAAATATTGAATCATATGGCTAGTTTACTTCCCCTGACCAAGTAGATGTCAAGGGGAACAGCTGAGAGTTATCTTCAAGGAGGATAATGTGTGCACAGGGTGACACTGTCAAGACACTAAGGCATCATCTAGATCTGATGATAAATTAATTAGTTTGTGATATTATTTATCTGATGATTAATTTATAGCAGGAAGGACTTCAGATAGGCAAAAGGAAGAACTATGAACCTAGCTGGTTGCTAAAAAACTGAAAGGTACTACCAATGGAAATGGGCGACATCTCCATCCTTGGAGATCATCAGAGGTGACCAGACAACTACAGATTCTAAATGATTTCAACATTCAGCTGCCCCAAGTCAGGGACCTGGATGGAATTTTTCTTTCAGGTACCTTTCAGATCTGAGAATCTGATCCTAATTCGGAGGTAGAGGAAAACAGGTAAATATTTCTCTCCCTGATGTGATAGCAAGTAAAAATGAAAAATAAAGGGCCTAAAGCTGGGTGTGGTGTCATGCACCTGTAGTCCCACCTACTTGGGGAGCTGAGAGAAGAAAAGTGCTTGAGCCCAGAAATTTGTCGCTAGTCTGGGCACATAGCAAGACCCTGTCTTTATAAACAAAACAAAATAAAATAAAAATTTAAAAAATAATAGAAGACCTAATTCTCCTTTTTGAAAATAAAAATAAAAGACACACCGCCATCAACCCTGCCCTGCAATCCTCAACTCTTTTTTCAGAATTTTTCTGTCCTTCCTTTTCAAACGTATATAAATCTTCCCTATGACTGTAAGTTTCTCAATTCAGGAATGTTTCCTCAAGGGCCTGGGAGTCATCTTTTTTAAATGCAACCATCACGGAAGATAGTGTCCCTATCTCCCAGTTCCTGTGGGAGGGTTACAGCCTAACTTCAGTGGGCGCCTTGCCCCAATTTGCAAAACTACCTTCTGTCATAAAGATATGGAAAGTTTGTTATTCCTCCAAATAAAGCTAACACAGGTGGTCTCCCCAATTACCAAGATAAAGTTAGGACAAACTCTGTGTGACAAAAGGTGTTGTCTCTTACTTAAGGACTAGTGATTGTTTATCTTGGGAGCATGAATGTACTGGGTTGTATCTGCTTGGCTGTTTAAGGGGGGAGTTTCCTTTCTGCCTTTGCAATCTCTTAGCAATTGCATGTGATGCACATCACATTCTGGTTTAATGGTTATTCACTAATAAAAAGAAATGGTTATTCAATAATAAAAATAAAAATGTTGTATGGCCAGGTACAGTGGTTCATGCCTATAATTCCAACACTTTGGGAGCCTGAGGCAGGAGGAATATTTGAGTCCAGGAGTTTGAGATCAGCCAGGGCAACATAGCAAGACCCTGTCTCTATTTTTTTGTATAAAAATTATTTAGGCTGGGCACAGTGGCTCACGCCTGTAATCCCAGCACTTTGGGAGGCCAAGGTAGGCGGATCACCTGAGGTTGGGAGTTTGAGACCAGCCTGACCAACATGGAGAAATCCCATCCCTATTAAAAATACAAAATTAGCTGGGAATGGTGGTGCATGCCTGTAATCTCAGCTACTCAGGAGGCTCAGGCAGGAGAATCGCTTGAACCCGGGTAAAGGTTGTGGTAAGCCAAGATCACACCATTGCACTCCAGCCTGGGCAACAAGAGAGAAACTGTCTCAAAAAAAAAATTATTTAAAAAATTAAATTTAAAAAAGTGTTTTGTTTCTCTACTACCTTTGTGGAGGGAATTTCTGGGTTGGGACAAGATCTTGGTTTTTTAATTTTGTCAATAATTTTTGTGAATGAAGGTAAGATGGCTGGCAGTTTCTGAATAAAGTGGACAACTGAAGGTCTGTGTCCACACACAGTCAGGTAAGAGACCCTGATTTTTAAAAAGTCTCCTTCTCCCTCTCTACTTGTTTGGAATAGTAACTGGATGATACCAAATTCAAGCGTTTACTATTGAATAAACATGGGAAGTACAGGCTCTAAAATCTCATCAAGATCACCATTAGGTTCATGGTAGAAAAATATGGGATGCCAGGAATGTTGCCTGTTGGACTGTCTTGAATGGCTTACATCTCTCTCTCACATTTAGAATGGATATACACATCAGATCCTAGTCCTGCAGTGGCCTAGGGATGGCTCCCTTTGATTTGGATAAATTACTGCATTTGCGGAAGTTCTCGGAAGGTCCTTATGTCAAGCAAATGAGTTACTGGTATTTGTGGGATGAATATTATTCTAAGAGGAAACTTAAAAGTGATTTAGATAACCAGAGAGAAAGACTGAAACAAAAAAATAGAACAGGAAATACAAGAATTAAGAGCACTTTCTCTTTCACAGAAACCTCCTCCATTGATTATTCTTGTTCCCTCTGTTCCTGCTGCCTCACTTTATCCCTCCTTGTCTCAGACTGACTCCTGGAAAGGGATGCGTGATGAGCTTTTAGACAAGTGGTTTCCCTCTTTAGCGGGTTCCATGAAAAGAGAAAAAAGGATGCCACTTTTTCAGCTGCAAATGAGTTACCGCCCTGTTTGAGGACGTAGAATTGACTGCCCCCTGGCCTATCCCCAAGTCCACTTCTTGCCTTAGACCAGATTTCACCTCCAGGGACCCCTTCTCATCCACACACCATTTAGCTAGAAAGGTGAAAAAGATAAAATTAAATAATCAAGATCTTGGAATAATTGAGAACTCAGATAAAAGACTATGTCCCTGTATGAAGGCAGCAGGATGGAGAGTTACTTGGAAAAAGACAGACAAAAAGATATTAGGTTCATAAATATACCAGTATGGAAAAACAAACCAAGATGCCATATAATCCTACCTTTTTCCTACTTTAATGCAAAGAAAACCAACCCTTTTTACTCAGATCACCAGCAAATCTGATGCCACTGAGAAGCCCCCCAGGTCCCTTGGATGCAAAGGAAACATTTAGCACCTATGTGCTCTTCTCTCCTGCCGATATCATCCATCTAAAGGATTTTTCCTGTACCCCGGGAAGATACACAAAAGTTTGCAGAAATGCTCCACAGCTTGTTTTTAGTTTACAGCCCTGCACATAGGGATGTGCACTGACTTGACTCTTGTGGGGAATCCTGCAACCAGCCCATTTTGCTTGTTTGAGGACCTGGAGATGATCCACCACCTAAGGTGGCACTGTGACCAGAGGAAATTGATTACCACTCCCTACAACTACAGAACTGAGCATGTTAGAGATCCATCCAGAGCGGCTGCTAGCAGCAGTACTTGAAGCCTTTCCACTAAAGGTAAGTTGGGAGAAGTTGCAATGGTGTACCTGGAATAAGAATGAGTCCTCCATTGATTTCCAGCAGCAGTTTGTGGAGGCTTTCTCAGAATTTACTAGCATGGACCCAGGAGCAGATAAAATCACTTCCTAATCTTGGCAAACTGTCTCTGCTCTCTTGCTGACTAGCCAAGCCCAAATTAAGGAAAAGGTGTTAGGATAGCAAGGACAGACTATTGTTCAAATCCTAGCAGCAGCCACTACTCAGTTTAGGGATAAGACAAAGAAGAACAACAGAGATTAAAGACTGCTGCTGGCTGCTCAGTGAGAATTATTTACTAAGGAGGATAATCCCTATACCGCACAAAGTATAAAGATAGCAAAGGAAGAGGAGAAAACTGAATGTTGTTATTGCAAAATACCAGGGCGCTGGAAGGACTATAGAAAGAGACTCGGGAGGATACCAAAACTACAGAGACAGGAGAGTCAGGAAACCCTCAGCTAGGAAATAGTTGGCAAATGGCTCAAAATTGACAGATTGGGGGAATCTCAGAGGTGGAAAGTGGTAAACCATCTATGTCAAGGACTTTTATTGAACCCCATCCATCCTTGGCTTTTCTGGTAGATATTGGTGCTACTTATTCTGCAGTTTCCTCAGAAAATTCCTGCTTTCCATCTGGTAACTGATCAGTACAAGATGTTGGTATTTTGGATCAGCCTCCATTTATTCTTTTTTCTCTTGGATTCCCAGACAGGTGCTCTTACTAAGGTACCTTCATTCTGACTTTCTCCTGTATCTCCTATAAACCTATTGGGGAGAGACCTACTCTGCAAATTAAAGGCTACTATATTTTGTACTCCAGATGGCCTATTGGTGAAGCTCCTTGAACAAAAGAGCACCTGAAATGGTTACTATGTACCTTATAGAAGAAAAGGGACCAGGCATGGTGGCTCACACCTATAATCCCAGCATTTTGAGAGGCTGAGGCAGGAGGATCAGAAGGATCACTTGAGCCCAGAAGTTCGAGACTAGGCGGGGCAACATAGAGAGACCTTGTCTCTATTTAAAAAGAAGGAAAACAAGATAATTATCTTATGTATGTATGTATGTATGTATTATTATTATTATTATTATTTTTTGAGACAGAGTCTTGCTCTGTTGCCCAGACTGGAGTGCGGTGGCGTGATCTCAGTTCACTGCAACCTCCGCCTCCCGGGTTCAAGCGATACTTGTGCCTTAATCTCCTGAGTTGCTGGGACTACAGGTACGTGCCACTATGCCTGGCTAATTTTTGTATTTTTAGTAGTGAGAGGATTTCACCATATTGACCAGACTGGTCTCAAACTCCTGACCTCAGGTGATCTGCTAGCCTTGGCTTCCTAAAGTGCTAGGATTACAGGCATGAGCCACTGAGCCTGGCCAGCAAGGGAATAACTTAAAAAGGACATTCACCCTGTTATACTACCACACTTCTAGTAAAGAAGGAAGGTAAGTTTCATAGAGATATACAGGTTTGCATGAGATCTTGGAGACATAAATGAACTTATTGTTCCATTAACTCCTGTGGCCCCTAACCCTGTAACTATTCCAACTTTGGTACTGTCATCTACAAATTTTTTTTCTGTGATTAGTCTATATTTTGCTTTTTCTTCTGTTCCTCTACTGGGCAAGTCTAAATGTTTTTTGCTTTTACTTATGAAAAGGCCCAATATCTGTGGCAAATAATTCCTACAAATAATGCCCCCCTACTATTTTCTCTAGTTATTTTTAGGAAAACTTAGAGAAATTTGTTCCACCAGAGGAATCTACAATTAATCAATGTGTAGATGATTGACTGGTAGCCTCAGAAACTAAGCAGCAACACAAAATAGATTAAAGCATCTACTGTCAGCTGAAGACTGTAAAGTGTTACGGTCTAGGAGTCAATCAACTTTGCATATCAAGCAACTTTCTATAGAAAAACAATTGAGACAATTTTAGGGATTAGTAGGGCATTGAAAATGATGAATCCCAACTTCTGCTGAGTGTGCAAAACCTTCCATGAGCAATTGCGTGATAACTCTCCCTGGTCTTTAGAATCTGAGGAGGCTTTTGAACAACTGAAATTAGCTATAACTTTTCCCCTAGTCTTGAGGAATCTCAATTTTGAAAACCTTTCCACTTGTTTTGTTATGAAAATAAAGGTGCTGCTAATGAAATATTAGCTAAAAAGTTGGGATTAAACTATAAGCCAATAGTTTATTTATCAGTTCTAGAAACCACTGCACTGAGAATGCCTGGGTGTCCGCAAGAGGAAGAGGTAGCTAGCATTCTTACTGAAAAAGCTCAAAGTCTTATCTTGGGTCACATGACTTATTTGCATGTCCCACAAGCTGTGACAGCAATCTTACAAGTCCATAAAGCCTAGCATTTGTCAGTGTGCCATTGAACTAACTGTGAACAAGCATTATTATGTAGTCCTAACATTGTACTTGGAAAGTGCAGTCTCCTAAACCCTACTACCCTCTTATGAGATTCTGATTAAATAGATGATCATGACTGAACAATGGTAATGGAAGATATTAAGCCCTGGCCTGATTTATTAGACTTCCAGTTTCAAAATGCAGATTTGAGTCATGGTCCTGGGCTAAGAAAGGATGACTGAAGACTTTCTATAGTGTGGTGACTTCTCATGAAATTTTGGAAGCTTATGTTTTGTCTGGAATTAAATCAGCACAAGCAACCGAGTTATCAGCAGTTACTAGAGCTCCAATTCTTAGTTATGAACTAGTAAATTATGTTTTACCTAAAGCTGCCTTTTTACAGATTTTGCATTCAGCCTAAAGGCTTTTCTGTACATAGTGAACTGTAACGTAACTGGATGTGTAAACAGACTATAACCTACTCTTGGGACAAGAAGCCGAGTCTCAGCCCATCACAGCAGCCATACTTCAACCACTCACAGGTGACCAACTATTCAAACCATGTTCAAATAAAGCAAATGCCAAACTGTAACCAGTTTGGCTGCTTCTGCACCTCACTTCCATTTTGTGTACATCACTTTCCTTTTTCTGTCCAAAAATCTTCTCCAGCCACACGGCAGCACCAGCGTCTCTCTGAACATGTTCTGGTTCTGGGGACTGCCTGATTCACAAACTGTCCTTTGCTCAATTAAGCTCTGTTCATTTGTCCAAAGGTTTTCTTTTAAAGGTGTCAGAAGTAGCATCTGAAATAGAGCTTCCAGTGACCCCCAGGAGCATCAAGTAACCAAGCAAGGTACCTGCTGGCCCCATTGTGTTCATTGTTTTCTCACAGCAACTGGGAATCATGGGTAAGCTCTCTTGGATTCTATAGCTACATGGATTTGTGTTTTGAGCTACCTGAGCTTGTTAGAGCACATTTTTATCCAAACTGTGTTCTGGAGTTTACAATAAAAACTGACTGGGTCTAGGATCAGATTGGATCTGATAATTAACTGCTTGCATCCAGTTAGTTGTTTGGCTGTCTGACTGTGCAAGACAGGAACTAACAGTACATTGCAATTCTGCAGGGGGTCTAATTTTCGGCTTTCAGAAATTTTTCAGATTTTTTGTGTCCTATCCCCTTAATTGCTGTTGTTGTTGTTGTTGTTGTTTATCTTGCACTGTTAGGTAGGAGAAAATTCATTGGCTAAGTTGATCAAGGGATCTAAATGGTCAAGGTAAAAATGGGATTCTTAATTTCTGAAGAACTGAATACTCCCCCTTCTGGCTATGCCTACATTTACATGTATGAGTATTAGGCCCTAGAAACAGCAAATGCTTACAAAAATGGTGAAATGTTACTAAAGATATTTTAAAATTACAGTGGAATGTTCCAAATGAAAAACATTGTGCTTTAAAAAGTACATTTAAAAATGAAAGCTCCCAAATTAGGCTAACCCAGGGATGCCTATTTATGTGCAGAAGCTTCTAAAAAGGTTTCAATATTTTTATTACCTCTTTTAAAAGACTCTTTATAAAAGGCAAATAAAAACCTTAGGCAACTAATTGATAAGAAAAATTAAATCTGCTACCATTTTGGCTTAATAACTATTCCACCCCCAAAAGTAAAAAGAAAGCTATCCTGGATAAAGGGTTTATAAAATATAGGGCCTCAGGTAAAGTAGGTTTGCTTCTTTTTCAGAGCTGTTCGTGTTGAGTCCAGACATACAGAATGCTTTCTTTGCCCTATTTCTCAATGTACTCCACCCTGAACTTGGTAATTTTTGCGAAGAAACAGTAGCTAAGTTAAAAAAAAAAAAAAAAAAAAAACCTGCCTATTGAACTAAATCATTCTCAAAAATACACCTTTCTGACATTTAGCTGGCTGCTTTGAAATGCTTTTGTAAATAAAATTTACATCTATAAAGGAAATCTTCATTTGTAAGGGTGTCTGCCTCTGTGCACTTGGAAAAGAGGGAGGACTGAGTCACTAGAAACTCCTATCATTGGTTTAAATTTATAGAACAAATCTTACCTTTGTTTAAGGTGTTTTTCTTCCCATCTTGTCTTAACTAGGCCTTTACCTACATCCTGATTCCTTGGTTTGGGCAAATTATGGTACAATATTTAGGTCAGAAGTCTCAGTTCTCTGATTTTTGAGATAGAAATTTCCTACCTTATTTTACTTAAGAGTCATCCCATTAGAAATGCAAATCTAGGGTTGCCTAGCTAACAATTGCTTAGAACGATGGAACAAATAATTGGAAGATTGATTGTCACAACAGGGAAAACAGAAAAACTGTTTGAGAGCTGGCAAATGAGAATCTTTATGAAAGCTATAAAACTTGCTTCTGTCATGTGTGTCTGTATGTCTATATGTGTTATGTGTATGTAATAATATTTGATTTAGAAAACTAATATTAAAAGTATTGGTAAAATAAAATAGAATTGGCTTCAGAATTGTCAGTTAAATATAATTCAGACATTTTTGCCTGGATCTACTGGTCAGACAGATTTATGTTGTCTCCATGACATGTTTTAACGTTGTGAAATGATATCTTTGACATTTGCCTAATTTGTCTGTTAGCTAAAGCTGTAAGGCACAGATGCTGGGCTACATTGAAGCCTTGTACATGTCTTACTGTGAGCTTGTTTTTTTATTTTGAGCCTCTGGATTCTGGGATCTGGACAGGTTGTTACAATAGGTAGCTAGTAAGATATGAGCAGAGCAGGAGAGCCCTCCCTCCCCCAACCTGGAATGTCAGGTGATTATCAATGATGGTCAGGTGGTTGTTAACTGTCTCTCTAAAACACTAATTGGTTGCAGCCAGTGCCAAGGAAAGGCAGTTCATAGATAGAAAAACCTGAAACTGGTGATCAGCAGCTTCCTGATAAGATCTCAGGAGTTGGGTGTGCATTAAGAGGCAAAATGGCAGAATTTAACTGGTGTATGACTTTCTAGGGACGTTTGATAAGGGAAGAGTGCCTCAGGTGAGCATGCATACATCTCCAGTAAACACACTGCACATGCTCCTCTCCTGAGTGCTAGCAGGCCACTGCTCATGCGGACAGCCAACCCAAAGGAAGAATAACAGAAGAAGGGATGCAAGACCCCAGAAGTATGCCAACATATAAAACCCCAAGTCAAAGGTCGAATCATGCACCTGATCTCTCAAGTCATCTCCTTGGCCCTTTTCCGAATATAGAGGGTCAAGTATTTCCAAATGTATTTTATTTCCTTTTGTTCCTGCTGTAAAGTTTTTTAACAAACTTCACTCCTGCTTTAAAACTTGCCTCTCTCTCCTTCTGCCTTATGCCCTTGAGTCAAATTCTTTCTTCTGAGGAGGCAAGAATTGAGGCTGATGCAGACCCACATGGATTCACTGCTGGTAACAAGGTGACCATGGTGAGGCCTGGGAATATGTCCTCAGTGCCTGGACCACTCTCTGCAAAGCAAAGCCAACCTCCATTGGCACATTCTCCCTGAACCAGTGTTGTCAGCTGGCCATGCCAGGTTTGATCCTCCAGGTATCATCTTCACAGTTGTCCTCTGTCCTGACCTCTATACCTGGTATGTAAATTCAAGACCCAGATGAGCCCTTCACTACAGAACTGCCTTGGGTGCCATACAGGTATTTAGGGCCCAGGATGATTAGGGAAGATATTAGGGAGGGTACCTATGTCATAGTTTGAAAATTCTTTTCAGTAATTTAAAATCTTTAATCTGTTAAATTAACCAATAGATAGTCATAACATGTTTGAGTTATTTCTAAGTAAGTTAAAATATTGAAACATTAATTATTTAACCTAAGTTTAAGTTTATATATCTTGACATCTTACTTTTACATAGTATAGAGAAGCTAAATATAATTAGATCTGTTAATAAACAAGAAAAACTGAAGAAACATCTTTCTTAAAACATTAGGAAATGATTTTCATCTACAAATACTGATATAAAACAGTTTAAAATTACTGCCTAGGTTTTTGCTAGAAATTAGGGTTATTAAGAGTTAAAATTAAGGTTAATATATGTAAATAAAACTACCAGATATAAAAGAAACAATTTTATATACAGAATGTATTTTTTTTAAAATGGAAGATATATTTTTGGTGAGGAAAGTTGTAAAGGCATGAAGATGTGTGTATGTTGAAAAAAATAATTTTGTCTAGTTTAGAAGCTATTTCAAGTTTATTTCAAATTGAAAGAATAAAATATATAGATAAAATTACATGGGTATAAAAATTTGGGGAAAGAAAAATAGAAAAATTTTGTGAGAGGCTAAAAAAGTTTTATGAAAATCTTACCTTGTGTGTTCAAAAGCTGCCCGAGATTGGATGAATTTGTTTGTAAGGTTTTAGTCAAATTAACTTTCGTGTTGATAATACACTAATACAATAGTAAAATTTGGTTTCTCTTAAAGAAGAATTTTATGTAGTATGAATCAGAGTCAGTAAAATATTTTTGTTCACCTTTTGAGGAAACTGCAAAAAAGAAAAGGGGAAGAGAAGAGAGAAAGATTCTGTCTTAGGCTGTCTTTATTAGGCCTTTGCATTATTTGGAAAACTGAGCCTCTTCACTATCAAAGAGTAAAGGTTTTTGCTTTCAGAATCTTTTAATTATCACTTTGACTAAATGAATGACTATTATTTTACGGTGACATGTGATACTACTTTGATTAAGTGTTTTAAATTTTTGGTGTATTTGACAGGCTTTCCAAATTCAAATTTCAGATTCAAAATTAAGTCACTTTGGCTTCACACTAACTTTGGGATGTTACAATGTGTCCCTGCAGCATCCAAAACGGGGATAATGAATAGGCTTATCTGATATGTTAAATTACATGAGAGACATTGTCAAACAAGAAACTATGTTTAACCTTCTTCAAGTTATATTTTTATGGATATGTTTTTAATATATGTTTCAAAATTATAAGAGATTCCTAAAATTCTGATATGCCTTGTTATGTTATTGGTTATAATTATGGTTATTATGCAACAGAAATAACCAAATTTATTTGTCAATTTTGTCTTTAACCATGACTATTTTAAGTTGTTTCCACAGTTAACTGCTTAATTCTGATGCGTTTTCTTTCTTCTTTCTTCCTTTTTTTTTTTTTTTTTTTTCCAGAGACGAGATCTCACTAGGTTACCCAGGCTGCTCTTGAACTCCTGGGTTCAAGAGATCCACCCACCTCAGCCTCCCAAAGTCCTGGGATTAGAGGTGTGAGCCACCGTGCCCGGCCCTGATGCATTTTCTGAAAGCTCTTCAGAAGCAAATAAATTGCTAAAGTATTGTGTCTCCTAAAATGTTCATGAAAAGGATAGAAAGGACCCTGATATCATTTAAACTGGGTAAGAATTCCCAGAATTCTAATGAAGAGACTGACTGGTTTATAAAACTGCTAATCCAAGCAAGACAAGAATTAATTGAATACCAAGGAAATACTTTGCCAGATTTTCATGCTATATAAGCCGGTAATGAAATTGTTAAGATCTGCAGTTTCAGTAAACTCCATGGTCCAAGCCAAATTGCCTCTGATAACTCATCTAATAAACAGTGCTATGCATCTGTATTGGAGAAACAAAACTGGTGTTTAAGAGGATATAAATTAGTTGTTAAATGTGGACTCATGGAGAACCTGGATAACCACATGGTCCCTCCTGCGTCCTTAAAGCCTCCACTATTAAAAGCTCTGCAATTTATATATATGGAAGACAATAGAAACTTCAGGTTTTTGCTACCTGATGTGCCATTTGGACATTTATAGAGGGATTTTATTTCTCTGCCATTTTCAGTGCATGTTTTCTAGATGTTTAGAAGCTTTTTCATGCAAGAAGGCTGATGGTATAACTGTGGCTAAGAGGTTATTAGGAAATGTGTTTCCTCATGGGGCATTCTGGAGAAATCTTCAATGATAGAGGTATTTGTTTCACTGGACAAGTTGTAAAACAGTTAAATAAAGTTTATAGATAAAACAGCATTAGACAAAGCTAACTGAATCGACTGGATTGCCTTGGTCAATGGTATTGCAGATTGATTACAATTAGATCCACTTTCATTGGAAAATATAAGTTGACCCCTTATGAAATAGTCACTGGAAGGTTTGTGCCCCTAATAATAGGGCCTCATGTATCCTCTGCTTCTAAACTCTGAAATGACTATATGCTGCAAATCTTTAATGCATTATGCCAAAGTGCATTTTTTTTTCCAGATAAAGGAAGCTTTTCATGATGGACTAACTGAAGACAATGAAACCCTTTATGGTCTAGAACCTGGAGACTGAGACTTCTAAAAACATCAGAAAAAGACTGCCCTGCCACCTACACTGCAGCAATAGAATCTTTGGTCCATGGAGTCACTCATGCTAAGTGTGACATAACCAAACTGAAACTGTATGGAAGCAGATAGATCCCAAAACAGACTATGGTTGTTTTTTTGTGTTTTTTGTTTTGTTTTGTTTTTTTTCTCTCTTTCTCTCCTGAAAACAGGAGACTCCAGCATGAGAAAGCCCCTTCTGGCCTGGTGTGGCAGCTCACGCCTGTAATCCCAGCACTTTTTGCTTGAGCCCAGGAGTTCCAAACCAGCATAAGCAACAGGGCAAAACCCCATCTCTACTAAAAGTACAAAAATTAGCTGGGCGTGGTTAATCCCAGCTGCTCGGGAAGCTGAGATGGGAGAATCTCTTGAACCCAGGAGGTGGAGGTTGCAGCGAGTCGAGATTGTATCACTGCACTCCAGCCTGGGTGACAGAGTGAAACTCCTTATCAAAAAGAAAGAGAGAGAGAGAGAGAGAGAGCCCTTTCTGGTGTAACCCTTACAAAAAAGTAACCTGAAGTCCTTGTTCCCACCTTACAAAATCCACCATTCTGCTATTTCCCAGTGGGATTTGGGTCCAAATAAGAACATTTATGATAGCAACAGAGTGACATAAACAGCCTAAAAAGACGATTTGTTAAATTAAGTTTGACGTAAAGCTACCTCCTTACATATTTAAATTTGGTCTAAAAATTTCTTCATACATAGTGAACTGTAATCTAACTGGATGTGTAAACAGACTATAACCTACTCTTGTAACAGACAGCCGAATCTTAGTCAATTATAGCAGCCGAGTTTCAGTCAATCACAGGCAGTCAACTTTTCACACCATGTTCAAATAAGGCAAACACTGAGCTGTAACTAACCTGGCTATTTCTGTACCTCACTTCTGTTTTCTGTTCACTTTCCTTTTTTTGTTTAGAAATCCTCTCTGACCACATGGCAGTGCCAGAGTCGCTCTGTACCTATCGTGGTTCTGAGGGCTGTCTGACTCCTAAATCATCCTTTGGTCAATTAAACTCTGTTAATTAATTAATCAATTTAATTTGCCTAAAGTTTTTATTTTAACGAGACTTAAAGTGTGTGTATATATATATGTGTATGTGTGTGTGTGTGTGTATGTGTATAGTCACACTGATAGTAACTACGTGTTTGGTGTCTGTCATGCAACAGAGCAAAAAATTTTTTAAATAGAGGGAATAGAACTAAAAAAACTTCCTATCCAATTGGTAACTGATTTACTCGGAGTTTTGCAGCTGCCAGCTCAGATATCGATAGTTCATTTTGCTAGCAGAGCTTCAAAGCTGCTGTTAAAACACAGCAATCTCTAAACTTAAAAAGTTTCACTTTTAACACAGTGAGAAACGTTTGTTCATTTTTAAAACGATCCTTTGTAAATGAAAGTAGACAAAAGGATTATAAAAGGGGCTAAATGAAATTTGAGCAACTATGAAAACTACCTAGCAAACTAATTCCTATGCCACAGTACCCATTTGCTTGGTTAGTATTGTTGTGTTATCAACAAAATCACCTGAATAAAAGAGGGAGTTTAAAGACACCAAACTCTTTCTACACCTACCCAAAAGGGAAAAGTATTCAACGGATGAAAAAGAGATGTGCTATTTGTCAGCAGAATTCTTTACAGGCCACTCCCAAGGTAAGCCCAAGAAGTTACCCCCAGCCAGCTTTGCCAGGAACCTGGTGGCATTTGATTTCATAGTTAATACCTACAGACAGTGCTTTTGTCTGCTTACGGTGTGTGTAAGGCCTAGATAGCCTGAGGTCTTTCCCTCTTCCAAAGCTGATGCTCAGGCAGTGATAAAGGCTCTCCTCTTACACAAAATTCTCACTTTTGGGATACCGAAGCATGTTGAATCAGAGAGGTTATTTTACTTTTACTCTTGTCCAGAAATTATGCAAATGTTTACAGGTCTCTAAAAGTTCCAGTCTTCTGCACAAGCAGAGCAAATAAACTCAAAAAAAAAAAAAAAAAAAAAATCAAACCAAACATTCCTTGGATAAGATTCAGCAATCTACCAGGTTAAATTGACCTTATCAATTAGCCTTATTACAAATTAGAATTTAAAAAATAGAATAACCCGTGCAACAAACATGGAATCTCTTCTTTGGACTTATATTTGGGGATCCCATGAATGTGAGTCTGAGGCCATATATGTCTGACTTAACTGAATCCTTTCATAATCGTATTCAGTACTTTAAAAGCTTCTCTCTTCTCCCCAGAAACCCTGAGACAAAATCAGAAAGATCTGGAAGACAGAGGAAATCTGCCACCCCTCTGGACTAGGAGACTTCGTCTACATAAAAGTGGGCTGTCACCATGGGGAGGGACCCTATAGAGTGCTGCTGATGACCCATAAGGCTATCAGTGCAAAAGACAAACTGCTGAATCCAGGCTTCCTGTGTGAAGCTAGCACCACAGGGCAGCTGGACTGTGCTTTCTACAAAGGACCTAAAACTCAAGTTTTCTACTCAACTGAAAAGAAGTATTCTAGAAAATGTATTACTATTCCTATAGTCTGCCTGGCTGTCCTGTTCATGGCAGTGGTTATTCCAATTACTTTGAGAATTATATTTATTAGAAAACAAACAGTATAATTTGTTGCACTTCTTTTTTCTTCTGCACTCCCAGAAATGTTCCCACAACCCCATATCACCAATCACCTTTAAATGATGCTCCCAGGATGAACAGGATCTGGACTTACAAGTCCAACGATTTCATTTTTAGCAGAATGTAAGTGGGGTCATTTTCACTAGTACTGTTCAATAATAATGAAAGTAATAAATATGCATCCAGACACTCAAGCTCTAAATTTGACACCAAGAAAAGTTAACTGGTTTGATTGGAAGGATGATATGGAAAGGCATCTCATGAATAGACAAACAGAAACTGCAAAAGACAGCTTTAATGTCACTAGATTCACACTGGGATGCAAGTTCTCTCCAATTCCAGTACAGATAAGTAAACAAAAGTGAATGCCTGTTATATTTAAAGGTTATTCCTCCAAGGCAAATATTATACTGAATTTTAAAATTCATCATACTGTGATTCTGGTAATTGCATTGTTTGCATTTTACTATAGACTTGCTGAATTTTCAGGCAACTGCAAGTTGCCCAGAGAAAGGTACAAATAATTAGGAGATTGCAATATGATTTTTATAGTAACACAGGTAGATGATTGTAAGGGCAAATACAAATTAAAAATAAGAGGCTTAACTCTCCCTGTTGAAAATAAGAGAAAATATCTCACCTCTTTCTTTTCAGAATTTCTTTTTCTATTCTTTTCAAATGTATATAAATTTCAATGGTTAAATAAATTTCTCAACTCAGGAATGTTTCCTCAAGGACCTGGGAGTCATCTTTTTGAAATGCAAACATCACGGAAGATAGTGTCCCTATCTCCCAGTTCCTGTGGGAAGGTAAGAGCCTAACTTGGTGGGCTCCTTGCTCCAATTTGCAAAACTACCTTGTCATAAAGTTATAGGAAGTTTGTTTTTCTCCAAATAAAGCCAACACAGGTGGTCTCCCCAGTTACCAAAATAAAGTTAGGACAAACAAACTCTGTGTGACAAAAGGTGTTGTCAAGTCCTCTAACTGGAGGACTAGTGATTGTTAATCTTGAGAACATGTATGTACTGGGGTGTATTATACAGCTTGGCTGTATAAGGGGATGAGATTCCTTTCTGTGAAGGATAAACTTAAAAGAAAACTGATAACAATACGGTGGTTTGTTTCTCTACTACCTTTGTGGAGAAGATTTCTGGTTAATTATATTTCCCCCACATTCCCCCAAAGCATCAGCAAGTATGCCTTCTATTGTGTTCTATGGTATTACTGTTTTATTCCTGTTTAAAAAAAAAAAAAAGAAGGTGGGAAATCTGCTCCAAACAGCCCTATGTTGGTGTAGCCAGCAGTGATTAATCAAACCTATCTGCTTTAATAGACCACCCCCAACTCCCAGCCCCCAGCCCCACCCCCTAAGGACATCAGTCAACAGATGTCATCAGTCAACAGAAGAGCACTGCATCGTTGTTTTCTTTCTCTCTCTCTGCGTATTCAGATACTGCTTAGTTCACCAGAAGAGCCTTGTCCAGCTCCTTCTGCCAACCTTAGGTGTAAGGCACTTTATCTTTCTGTGGCAGGACCAAGCCCCCATAGTTCCTATAGTCCAAAGGATTGATGAAAGACTTTCTGTGCCTCCTCTGAGAGCTACTGCAGCCCCAGTTTCATTTGTGTTATTAACTTTCTGCAAAGCTGACTTTCCACAGAAATATAATGACTCCTCCTGAAATGACACTGTTTCTGTGTATCTTCTTTCTTCCCTTATTTAGGAATTTTTTTTCAAAGGATCAGGCTGAGGTCCCTTGGAGGAAAGGGTCTTATCCATTTAGTCATCCTCTCCTGGTACATCTTTGCCCCACCCCTCCCACTTTGTTTAAAGACACTTGCTTTCTCTGCTTGATTTTTTAAGTCCTCATAAAATGGGCAAGGCTTACCTTTCTAGCCTGGTTCTACTGCCCCTTCCTCTGACATTTAATCATCTAGTACTCAGCACTGGCAGATAGTGGGCACCCAAATATTTGTTGAAAAAATAAAAGAGATTTCAACCTCTAGAACATCCTGGAATATCCTTTGGTAAGCCTGCCTACAACCTAAGCACTCTTCCAGGAATGTTCTTTCACCATGGAAACCTCCCAAGATTTCACAGTGAAATGGGAGAGTTCCCTGACCCACCCTGCAGGACGTATGACAGGGGTGTGGCTCGTCTGTTTGGCTGCCATGCATGCTCAAACCCCTTACAGGATGAGGAGCACGTGGATGGTCTGGTGCAGGAGCTGGGGCAAGCACTTTTGGGCTCCGGCCCCATGGTAGCATCTAGGGGTGGGTGCCTGCAACTCGCAAAGCCCAAGTGGGTGCATGTTACACTGTGCTTTTTTAGCTCTGTCATCTACAGACAGCTTAAGTGTTAACAAGCTCAGAGCCCTCTTCATACCCAGGTTCTCATCTGGCATCCGGGAAGAATCAAGTCACACATGGACTTGAAGGGTGGTGAATGCAGGGGTTTTATTGAGTGGTGGAGGTGGCTCTCAGTGGAATGGATGGGAGCTGGGAAGGGGATTGAGTGGGAAGATGATCTTCCCCTGGAGTTTGGCCATCCAGCGGCCAATCTCCCCTCCAACCACTGCAGCCGAACTCCTCTCGATGTTCAGATGCAACTTCTCTTCTCTCCTTCTCTGCCATGCTGTTCTGCCACTATTCTGCTCTTCTGTTCCTCTGCTGATGG